ACACATACAGATCACCAAACCCACACTCAATATTTTTCCAAAGATATAAATGCATCATAATTCTTGAATTATTGTAATATGCTTCTTGGTATCATTATGACGACATATTCGTATCACTATCCCAGCATCACCTCAATGCACTTCTCAATAATTTTTATTTTGTAAATCTATTTTTACTTGCTTTTAATTATTTTTCTTTGAAAATAAAACTAATAAAGTTTTGCTTCTTATTCAGTGTGCATTACATCTCCTGCATTCACTTACTAAAATAACTTAATCTCTCTCTTCTCCCTTCCCTTCCCTTCCCTTCCCTTCCCTTCCCTTCCCTTCCCTTCCCTTCCCTTCCCTTCCCTTCCCTTCCCTTCCCTTCCCTTCCCTTCCCTTCCCTTCCCTTCCCTTCCCTTCCCTTCCCTTCCCTTCCTTCCCTTCCCTTCCCTTCCCTTCCCTTCCCTTCCCTTCCCTTCCCTTCCCTTCCCTTCCCTTCCCTTCCCTTCCCTTCCCTTCCCTTCCCTTCCCTTCCCTTCCCTTCCCTTCCCTTCCCTTCCCTTCCCTTCCCTTCCCTTCCCTTCCCTTCATGGCTACACATTTTGAAATAATATTTTAGTTGCAATTAATTAATTTAAAAATATATGGTTATTTTCATTTGTAAAATTATTTTACTATTTCTGAAGACAAAGACAGTTTTGAACCTTTTTTAAATAATTTTTTTTTTCCCAAACATCATTATACTTAGCAAATACATGAAATCATTTTAATAATCGCCTTACAGGTAATGATTGAAATAACTCTATGCAACATAAAATGTTTCCTAAATACTGTATTTTACATAAAATGAAACTTTCTTGTCAATTCTGATGCTTGTTATTATATTTACCTGCATATTTTGCTTAGAAAGGCATCATATTGCTTCTATAATTCTGCTGTTAACATACAACAATCCTGCATTTGACATACAGTAGGTCCAATACACTAGGTTGAAAAATTTGTAAGTATTATTGTCTCAGTTAAAGTGAAATGTAAAAGTGAAAGGATTTGTTCATAATCCCAATGGTAAATTGAAGCACTGTTCTAAGGGTTCTTGAAGTAATGTACAAACTGTGCACTGCTTTACTGTACGTACACAGGCCAACTCAAACTGAGATGAAGAACAGGAATGAGGGACTAAGGGAACAGAGAAACTACTAAAGGCCAAAATAATATCTTGTGAATGTTGAATATAATATTTTCTTTCATTCCTTATCAGTCATTGTATTAGTAACATTTCTTGTACGTTTGGAACATTTAAATTTCTCGTGTCATGGCATAGAAACCTATCAAGTGCTAGGAACTGTACAAGCAAAAACCAAAAAGCTGTTGCCATTCCTAGTAGAAACAAGCATTACTTCAGCATTTTTGAACTACACACATAGTTTTCTCAACATAAAGCAGGAGGACTGCAAGTAGTTCTTTCTTAAATGCTGAGAAGATATTAACCTTAATGAGAATATCACACACTTTTACAGAAGATACTGGTGATAAGGCAGTGGAAATTAATTTGTATAATTTCCTTGTTTGAGAAGATGATGAGTTTTGATCATTATAGTAGCAAAAGAGTAGTTTATACCAGAGTTAAAAAACTCTTATTTTTGGAGTTGATTTCAACAGTGGTTTAACAGACTGATTCTGTAAGTGTTACACTACACTGAATCTTGTATTGCTATTATAATCAGTTTTCATTACAGTGTTTTCTTTTAACATAACGTTTCCAACCCATTACACTTCAGAAGCACACAACAGCCTTCTCTTGAATTGGGAAACAGAGCTTATTGAGACATCTGTAAAAGGAAAGAAAAAGCTTACATTTTACCAAAAAGAAAAATCCATATAACTACTAAGGAATAATTTACAATTTTTTTTTTTTTTTTTTTTGCAAATAGCTAATGTCACTGGAGAGGACAACTTTTCATGAATTTGACTCATACAGTCTGTTTATATATTTGCAAAATCAAGAAATGTTTGGTGTTTTCCTTAACATGGGTTTACAGAACCTCCAAACAGTCTATAAAAGGTGATTATATTTTGATAATTGGACTGTCTCAGGAAGTGTTTTAAAAATGTCTAAATGATCTGCCTTCATTGCCAGGCATGACTGAACCTTCCCACATGCAGTTCAGAGAGATTACTGTGAAATGCTAATCTTCCAAAACAGGAATAGGGAAAATGAGATACAGTCTCAGTTCCTATAAAACTCAACTTTAAACATGCTTTTATGTTCTGCTGGACTAAGCCCTTACATATCCTTATGTTCACAGAATACACATTAAAGAGTCTCAAAAAAATTAACAATATATATTGTGAAGCTGCTAATAGCATTGCAGCTTGCTATGCTATTAGGTGGCTACTATGTGGTAGCCAAAATTTAGAGAGTAGAAAAAGTAGCTTATTTTACTCAAAAATTATAAATGAGTCATCTGAAAATTGCCTTGGGCCATCATTCCAGCCTGTACAGGACCCTCTACAGAGCCTTCCTACCCTCCAGCAGATCAACGTTCCTGCCCACCTTGGTGTCTTCTGAAAACTGACTGAGGATGGGATCATTCCTTCCTGTAAAATCTTTTTTTTACTCTAATCCAGTCAGAAGCACTGGGTGATCACAAATTGAGCAAGGATTAGCTCCAGCATAGTGGATTGGTGTTTTCTATTTGCTGTAAATTGGCAAGTAACCAACATAAATTCTTGCCTGTCAGTCTGAGAGTGTCCATCTGTACCTCAGTTTGCAGGAAGAGGATACATGAGCAGTAAGAGCTTACTTGCAGTACCTACTTGTCCCAAACACTGACTGGTACAATTTCATTTTGAAGGAGTCTAGTATTTATTTCATTTCTTAGGGCTGGGCCAGTTTTGAGGGATACTTTATGTTATTCTGTTGGACTGCTAGTTGTACGAAAGCAGCTATGTAGTCTTGAATGTTCAGAAGTGATTCCCTACTTGCAAAGTTCCTTTGCTGTGTGAATCTTTCCCTCATTCCTATTACATTGGCAATACTAGCATTGGACACTAGGTGGTAATCATCTTCTGGTAAGCTCAGCACGAATTTCAATATGTGAAATGCCTTTTTATAGCTATTTTTGCGCCAACAGAAAGACTACAATGTATTTATTTCAGAATAATTTAAAACATATATTTTTGTGTTGGATTGAATTGGATATAAAAAACTAGAAATGAGTGTGTCAATAGTTGTATACCTAGCCATTACTTTGTTGTCATGTTTATTTCTCCTATATAAAAGCTAGGTTACAATTTTCTCATAAAAAATGAATTTTGAATGTAAAATTTTTTACTTTGTTTAAAATTGACAAAATCTGTTTCATATTGACATATGGTAAATTTTTCCCCCTGCATTGGTGGAGAATAGTTCATTAAAATACATAAAGCTTTTGTTGACATGATTCAAGTTACAAATCATATAATTTAAATCCGAAATTCTTTGGGTGGTATGTACACTTATTGTGTTTTGTAGATGTGCATTTAAATTTTTTTTTTAAATGAAGAGGCAGCTATGTAAAATATATATTTATTTCTCTAATATCTCTTACTGAAGTAACATCACTGATACTGCTGTGGATGTTAAAATAACATCTATATGGATATAACCTCTGGACCAATTGACATTCCCATGGCTGGGGGCTTGTTTGGAGCCAGGTGTATTGAGGTCAGGACAAACATCAACTCACTGCTGGAAAAGTAGAAGTCTTTATTCATTCTTGTAACAAGTATATGGAGTAGAGAAGGTAGACTGGGGAAGTAGATTCTTCCCTTGGGATTATAGAAATGTATATTCTCTTAATTTATACTTTAATTCAAGACAAAACCCTGGAGAATTTCTACATATATTGTTATTATTAAAATCTATTTCTACAATTTTATTTCTTGTATGCAAGTTCCAGAAGCTTGATAAGTCTCAAAATTATAATATATTTGGCTGTGTAAATCAAATATAGTTGTAGTAATCAGATACTTGTCATTATGAAACAAAACAGAATCAGGAAATCATCCTAATTTGTTTATTTCTTTTTTCTTTAACCGTTGTTAAATAGCAGCTGGGGAAAAGTTTATCATTGTTCTTGATTATTCTTCAAACTGTTCATTGACTGGATGTTCTGTAAGTGTATTCCCAAACTGTATTGGAAAACCAAAGATTAACAAAAACAAGTTGTAGCTATAAGTTTAACAGCTATCATAGGCTGATTTTCAAAAGCATTTCCTTCTTTCTTATTTAGAGTGAGTCTGCTGGAGATTCATTCTGTTAAGAGCTTGGCTGTTGATAAGTGTCTCCCTCAAATATTGTGGGTTTTTCCAAAATTTCCTGCACATGGGTAAGGTACATGCCACCCCCACATGAGATGTTTGAGGTGGAAGAATGTACTATTAATTACAAAGAAAATGGAGAATTCTGGGGAGGTAGTTGCAAGTGCTCAAATTCAATTTTGGCTGACATGCCCGAATTTCTTGATCAGAATGAAGGATTGGATATAATTGTGGAGACTGAAATGACTAAAAGAATTCTCTTAATACTTCAATTACTTCAGTGGGCAAATACATTTTGCTGGCCATGCTCTGGAGTTTCAGAAGGTCCATTGTCACCACCAACTCCTGAGTTCTTGGGAGGGATGATGCAGAAAGCTGCAGTTCAGATTGATGGCTCACACCAAACAAAACAAGCCCCGTAATGAAACAGGAAGAGAAATGAGGCAAAGATGGCAACACGGAGAAAAGGCAAGATAAGAACAAAAATATTAGAGTAGAGCTGAAGCTGTGTAGGACCTTTTAATCTTAAATTGTAGTTACCAAAGGATGTTAACTGCCAAATTTTTGTTTCTCTAGGAGATTTTTGGAGACTCATCTAAGAAAAATTCCAAGTGATGCTTTTTCCAATCTCCCCAACATCTCTAGGATGTAAGTTCTGTTCAGTTTCTGATACTATTCTTTTAAATTTTTGTTAAAAATTACTCTCCTTCTCCAAAATTCTGTCTTTGTGTATAAAAATTTATGAAATGAAAATATTAGGGTACCTTTGCTACCTCACCACTTACATTTTAGAATTTAAGGTAATAATTCTATTGTTTATAACCTGAACCTGTTATAGGAAGGCATTCTGTACATTTGTGAACAAGACCACTCCTCCTTTATTAAAGTTGATGTGATAAGTAAAGCTATAAAATAATTTTTTTTTAGTTTGCAAATTACAGGAAATAATTTCACTCATAACAAATTAACATATTTAGTTGCCGGTCCTGGCTAAAAATTTGTTTCTAGCTGCCAGCATGATTTGTAGCACAACTCACTGGAGACCAGGGGCATTTCTAGACTAGAGATGGACTTTCCAGAACATTAATATTTGTGTGATGTGAGAGAGACTTCCATTGTGTCACTTCCTTTCTGTGCAAACATATGTATGGATATAGTCCACAGAAACAGAACCAGCTGCATCTACATTTCTCCCGTTGAAGGTGGCTATGTTTAGGAAACTTGCCTGTCCAACCATCCAGGAGCCACTCTGAAAGTCCCATTCACACCAATACCCCACAATTCCCATAGCAAAGTCTCAGATGTCCAGATATTTTAATGGTTTAGTCTTGATTCAATAACTAAATAACAAAATAGCCTGAGTTTGGTACCTCCAGGGAGGGACCCCAAACAAAGGAATCCCTGGGGTTTTACACCCTCGCAATTTAAGTGCCCCAGTGTCCATGGTCCTTGGCTCCTGCTGTGTCTCTGTGCCCCTCACCTGGCTGGGCCAAAGGACCCATTTGTTATGCTGAGGGTCAGCACCAGTTCATGGCCCCTGGCCTCGGGCTCCTCCCACCCAGAGCTCAACCTGCAGAGCAAACCAGCTACCTGCGCTGAACGGATTCCTCAACAGCTGCCCTTGCACTGTACTGCTCCTTGATGGCAGCAGTCCTGAGAAAAAGTTGTCCCACATTTGTTGGTTCTTTGTTGCTGGCCCATAATCTGTGACCCTGTGCATGTCTGTGTGATGCAGTGAATTTCTCTGCCACCTCACAATTCCCTCCCAAGGATCAGAGTCGTGTAATTCAGACAGGACCTCAGGAGGGCTCTAGTCTACAGTCTGCTCATACAATCCAACCAGAATGCACAGGGCTCTTACTTAACCTGCTGCTCAGCTTTATCTGTGGCCACTGTCAACTAATTAAGCCACCTAATTAAGCAACAGGCCCATTTTTTTTCTTGTTCAGCTTTTTGTTACTAATGTAGCAATAGGAATTCTTCTTGCCCTTGATCTCCCATGCAAGTCTCAATTCTATATGAGCTTTGACTGAATAGCTGAGGATTACCATTTAAGAGTTCATGAAAAAGGTCTTTGGGGGAATATGGTCTGCCATTAGATTTAATAGTTTTATCCAGATATACTGAAATAAAGACTTCCTAAAATCCTTTTAAGTATTTATTCTTGGATATCTCTGCATCTCAGTTTAATCAGATAGATGGGGTATTGTTTGGGGTTCTTTTTGAGAGGGAGGAATATCCCTCAAATGATGTGTAGTATTATGTATAAAAAGGATAAACTTAGTTTAGAACAGAGTTTGATTCAATATAAAAGGATGTCAGCCCTTCTTTGGCTCCAAAAGCTCCAGTGGCAACTTAAATTTGAATAGCGTTAATGCCCATCTGGATATTTCTTATAGCATTATTACTACTACAAAACATGAACTCCCACCCTCTTGATATAAACTTCAGCTTAGAGAATCAGTACCTGTGTTTTAACTACAACTTTTATGTGTATGTCTTGGCCTCTAATGTACCACATGTATCATTTGCCTCTCCCAGTCCATAATTTCTGTGCAATGAAAACTGCAATGAAAATTACCAGATCATTCCTGGTTTTGCAAATTCATCTAGAAAATGTTCTGAAGTTTCAACAGGGGAATATATACTGTGTTTACTGTTCAAAATACAGCAGTTAGTTTCACTATATGGTGTCTACTTATATGATTTCCACAAATAAACATGATTTTTTTTATCTGTACTGAACAGAAAATTTAGTTGTCCTCTTTATGAACCTTGTTTAAACAAAAATTTAAAGCTACAATTTCTTTTAAATTAATGCATGTCTATGTACTCTTGATAGCCAGAAGTAGAGATTTTTTTTCTCCCTGTGCTACTTTTCCACATGAGGGAAAAACATTTTAATTATGTGCTTAATTGCAAAGCTAATTGTCAGAAAGGCATTACTGAATAAAAGAAGTTTTATAGGATATTCAAATGCAATTGAAGTTTCTGGTTTACACTCTTAATAAGGCAAATACACTACATCTTGGTGTAAGGGCTTCACCTGGTGCTTTCTGCTGACTTAGGACATATTGAACATTCAGTGTTTTTAAGGTCAAGGATAAGGAATATTTTTCTGGGTTTAGGATGATGCTTTGGGGTCACATTCATGAGTATCTCACAAACACCTGGTCTGTAGCTCCTCAAAGTGTTTTCTGCACAGCTTCTCCACACAAAGGAGCATCCCACAGTGCTCTCTGCCAGCAGCCCCATGTAAAGCACACCTCCCCTGTGCACCCTTTATTGTGTGACACAGTGCCTTTCCCACCCTGTGCATGCTGCTGTCCCACTGCCAATGCCACCACACAGCTCACATGTACCTGCACCTCCTGGGCTCCCCAGTGCCAGCTCCTACAGCACAGCTCAACTCCGCTCCCAATGCCTTACCTGCTCCTGGTTACCTCTCCTGAAGTGCCCCACATGTCACCAAGCTGCTCTCCAGCAGCAGCAGAGGACAACAGGGGCAGCTGATGGGCAGCAATACAGGGGATGCTGAGGTTAGAAAAAAGCGAAGGTGGAGAGAGGGAGAAGGAAGAAAATAAGGGCTGGGAGAGGGCCTCATGGCTGGTGCCAAGTGTCGATCTGATTAAAATCCTGCTCTCTTTCTGAGTGTCATCATAGCTGGATGAGAAAAACAATGAGACGACAAATGAAGGGGTACCATGGGCACTAGCTGTGGCTGCCAAGTGTCTGAGACCTGTTTATTTTTCTGTTTGCTGGTGTTTAGTTACATCTCTATAGATGAAACACTTCAGAGTCTGGAGGCCCATTCCTTCAACAGTTTAAGCAAAGTCACTCACATGTAAGTATTGTAATTAAATAAATTAATATAGTGATAAGATGAATTTGGAATGTGTGGAAATAACATACTTGATGATGTTCATCATTCCTGTCTCTTATGTAGCTAAATATTCCTTTTTTCATTTCCTTTCTTCATAATGTGGGTGAGTCTGTCTCTTTTTTGAGCTTATTTCATTGTGCTTGTTTTCCATACATCTTTTCGGTTTCCCTCTGTATCTTCCCATAGAAATTTAGGTAAATGTAGTGAGAAACTAGTGGGAGTGCATCATGAACTTGACGTCAAGTTGAAATAAAATGGCAATTAAGAATTATTTCTGTCAATTTACTGCAGACAAAACAGTAATATAAGCATCAGAAATAAAATCAGAAGCACCAAAGCACAAAGCAAAATGGCACTAGCTGGAGACATGAAGAATAAGTAATCATTCTGAAAATGCACTAGTAAAATGAAGTGTGTTTATATGGTTATTAAATGGAACAAGAATATTGTGGAAAAAGGCTTCTGAGAAGTGTTTTTGCACCTTTTTGTTCTCATGTTCAGACCAATCCACACCAAGTGACACTCTAAGGGCAGTTACAGAACTGGTGGGATGAATCCAGAGAATTCTTGTCACCCATCACGACCCTGTCAACATGAGAATGCAATGGATTGAGTAGAGAGCTCCATAGGACCCATCCTATATCTGGTACTCTTCCATGTTTCCATTACTGATCCAAGGAGGGATTGGGAAGTGTGCCACTGTTGTAAAGCTCAGCTGAATTACAGTTTGGCATATTTCAGAGATTTTTGCTTGCAGAGATTCCATGGGAGAGCCCTGTTGGTCACCATGGATCCAGAAAACATGGTCAGAGAGAAAAGTCTTGTGTCCAGAAAGAAAACATGCCAGAGGCAGATTTATTTTTTAAGATTGTTGCAAGAGGTGAAAGCCACCACCCATTTTCACACTAATGTTTGAAAAAGTAATAATAATGTTAAAGTTGATTAGGTGAGACTCATGGCAGCCTCTAAGAAATATATTCCTATGGCTGGTATAAATAAACACTAGAATTGTTTTTCTGAAGACATTGTCTCTACCACTGCAGGCCTTTAGGGCTGTATGATCTGAAATTCCATAGATCTATTTAATATTCACTCAGAGAAACAGATTGAATTAGATTATGATTTAACACTGCTGTATTTTCTATGATTTTTTTTTTCCTTTTACTTTACACAGTGTGAATCAGAAAGACTAACAAAGTTACAGGAGAAATATATAATTATTGTTAATGAAGATAAAGAGATAAACTAATGCTGGAAAGTGTAAGTGACTCCTCTAAGAGAACATGAACCTGACTGGCATATCTAGAAGCAGAATGTGAGGATCCTGAGATCAACTTCAGGCCAACAACATGCTCCAGTAGTATTTCTGACTTTTACAGCAAGGCTTTGGTGTGATATCAGTACATACCTTTGGTTAAAATATCACTTCCTATTCTGTAGATGTTTTTTTCCTAAGCCGGTCGTGTCCATGTTCTCTCTTCCTCTCTCATAGTTGTTGTGTCTTTAAAATTTCTTGTTTAACACAAATGAACATTTAATAAAACATTTACTGGCAGCACATTTTATCAGCAATGAATTAAGCATCTGCCACTATGCACTACAAATTCATCTTATGGTACTTCGTTTGTGGTTCACCTTATTAGAAATTAAAGATAAAATGCTCCAGAAAGCTCCAAAATCACACCCACTCCAGCCCCCAGGCCTGGATGTGTTGTCCATGACTGGGAAGCAGCTTTATGTAAATAATATTTTTACCCTAACTGAAACTTATACATACAGTTTCATTCTCAAAAGATTTGTTTTTAGACATGAGGCCTTTTCAAGAGAAAGTTCAGTGTTTGCGGAAGGGAGAAATTAATGCTTTGCTTTAAGCCAAGTGTTATGTGAATAGGCCTCCTGTGTTCATCATGATCTGCCTGCCAAGCTTAGTTAGTGCACTTCAGCCTTGATCTTCAGCAACCCATTTTCTCAGTCCTTATTTAATACGTGTGCCTCTGTCCTGACTTTCTGTTCCTTCCAGACCTCAGCTCTTTAGGCATAGGTCATATTTTTATGCATCTATGCCTTTCAAGTACTGAACAACTTCTGCAAACTAAGGATACTGACCACCTGCTGTATTTTAATGAGCCACATCTTATATTGCTGGTAATTAATGGCAAAATTTCCACTCTATGAAGATGTAAATAAGGAACAAACTTCTGGGGTTTTTTCTCCCCCATTGTGTTAAATTGGTCTCACAATGGTTTCTTGTTTCTTCTTTTTGTATTTACCTTTTTTAAGTACATCTGTTTACGAATTCAGATCTCTCTCATATAATTACATAAGTATGTATTTTTTGTAAATTAAATTGTGAAAGGGTCTGATTAACAATCAGCGTCTCTGTGTAATTGCCTTATTAGTAGAACTGAAGCTTGGTAACATTACACTAAATAGAAACCTGTTGTAATTAAGTCTCTCTTTCTCAGGGAGACATTCCTGCAAACAGAAGCTCAGAACCTCATTATTTCTTTTCCTCCTTTCTCTGTGTCTGGCTCACCCTCCCCTGGTCTCTCCCTACTCTCTTCTCCTAACTCATAAAGCATTCTGCTCTTTTACAACCTTATAAAAAGCCCTCTCAGCATTTGGGAACAAGGCCAAAGGTTATGGTTCAAGTGGCTTGCCCTCGTATATGTGACATCATTTGGAGAGCTGGTGGGGGACCACTCTGCAGCTCTGCAGTGAGACAGAGCCAAGAGCCAGAGCAGCCCCAGCATCCTCTGGGTGAGGGCTGCACTTCTCTTGGATAGCTCGTGACGCCAGGCCATGGGATACAGCACTGCAGGAAGAAGAGAGAAGCAGCTGGAGAGGAAAACTGAAGAGATTTGTGGGGTAGTGCTGTGTACCTGCAGTGAATTTCAGAGCTGGGATAAGTGCTGTGCAAAAAAATCTTGTTAAAATCTGCAGTCTGGAGGTAGGGATAGACTGTTGGGAGCCTGAGCCGGTTTTTTGGTGCCAGTGGTGCAAAGGCTTAAACAGGTACATGCAGATGAAATAACATGGATGATTTGGCTGCAGGGGGAGAATAAAACATGGAAGTAGATGTACAAGTGAGAGAAGGTAAGGTAGCTACTAAGTCTCAGAAGGTAGAGAGGGGGACTCAGGTTATTACCAGACAATGAAAAAAAGCTTATTTAAAACATTTCACAATTGCTGACCTGGATATCCTTAGTCTTTGTAGGTATCTCAGCACAATTTAACATGGTTATATTGCTACTCTAAAGCCAGATTTGCAATTTCTGATTTCTGGGCTTAAACAGACTCAAGAATGTATCAATATTGCAAGGCAGGTATGAAAAACACATCTGGTAAACAAAATTTCAATTCCACTTACTTATTTTGCTGCAAATGAGTAAATGTTTGTTTTGCTGTAAAACAGTAAATGTTTGTGCTTCTTTTAATGTTACCAAATTCAGATAGAATTTTAAGTAGCATATTAAACTTTCTGAAAGTTAGCTGGCAACCATATGTCTCAATTGATTATTTAGCCTAATATTTGATTAGTTCTTAATGTTAGTTTTATTTTTAGATTCATTTGGATTTGAAAGTAGTTATAGCTTTGGAACTAAACATAAGCTCATAGTTACTTGTGATTCTTGACACATATCTTTATATCATCAAGAGACTTTCTCTGCACATCCATTCTTGATGCAATAAAGTCTTTTGTGTATTTTCATTAAAAAGGAAAAGTGAATTGCTATTCTTGGACAGTCAGGTGATGATTTGATTGTGAACCTAGTTCACATTTTTAATTCCTAGTCTGAGTGTCAGAACTAAAATTTCAAACATCGAGTGTCTTTAAAGCACAAATAAGCTAGTTTTTAAATGGTTTCTGGACTTAAAAGAATAGAGTTTGTAAAGCAACTTTGAATACTTTTGTAAATACTCCACTAATAATTCTCTCAGCTTGTGGTTAAGTAGCAGCATTGGGTTTTTTGGTTTTTTGGGGTTTTTTTGTTTGTTTGTTTGTTTGTTTGTTTTTTTTGGTTTTTTTTAATGAGTATCTCTAAGTAATTTCAGTTAGGACTGAAAAGTGAAATGTTTGTTCAGGGCACCTTTTGCCTTTTTGCATCAATGGTCAATAAAAATGCCTACTAATTGTCTCAGGTTTTCTGATATCTTAAAATATCAGAATGTCCAGAAGGACTTAGAATTTTAACACTCCTGTATGCCATGATTGTTCTATTTGTAGAGTGTGTCAAAGCTGTCAAAGGTTTGTGTGTCAAAAGTAATTTAAAATCAGCTCTCACAGACAGATTTCTGGAAACTAGCTTATTAGGCATTTTAAGTATACTTTTTGGCTTTTTCGGCATTTTAGGCAGCTTAAACTACTAATAGTTTTCCTAGACCTGCTTTTAAAAGAACCATAACCTTTAAGTTCATGAGTTTCAATATTTTCAACTCACCAATTCATAGAAGATAAATTATAAAAGTGCAAACACTGCTTAATGAATTTACTGATAATCAACTTGCTCTTTGATCTTTATAGACCCTTTGGAATTAATCTTTACACCACAACAGTCTTTTGACTACGGTTTGAAAGTTAGGGTCATATAACATTTATGTGCCTTTGAGTATATTACTCATGACTGATTACCATAAAAGAAATTGTGAAATGTAGTTTTTCCTGTTAATTGATGAGATCAGAACTATTTAAATATCTTTCCTCCTTACAGGCTTAACTTCATGGGCTCTAATATTAATGGAGCAATAGATATCCTTTAAATCTGTGATTTTAGGGAGGAATTCCTTCCAGTACTCTAAGTCTAATTATGTTTGAGTATTTAAAACAAGGACAGCAGAACAGTTCATGAATGGAAATGAATTTGAAGATCTGTGGGAAGGCAAGGGTTGGAAAAGAGAAGATTGGCAAGACGAGAGAAAAATAAATCGGATTAGAATTGTTTTCTTTCAGAAACCAAACTTGCAATGAGGAGATGTTAGAAAACAGTGTCAGAGAATTCATGTATCTGTGTTTGTTTTGGTTATTTTTTGTCTACTAAAGAAGTGAAATTTTCTCACAAGATAACAGAAAATTGTGAAAGACTTAAAAGCATTCTTATTATAGACTTGGGGCCTCTTTGTAAGCAGGGAAAGGAGGTAAGAAGTGCAGGAGATTGTAAAACACAGCCCAGTGAAGATTTGCACGTGTTCCAGGCCCCCTTTGATATGTAAGGCAGCACTCAGGCATCAGTGTGTATTGTCCCTGCTAATATGAGCCTAGCAGTCTATGTGTCTCTACTTGACTTTTTTGAATCCTCCAGCCAGAAAGATGATGGAATAAATCTACTCTTTGCATTTCAGCTGTGTCATGGTCGTCTTGGTGTTACCTACATTTATCCACGACACACAAGATCTTTCTCTTTTTCATCCAGATAAAATGAGAGACCACATATTCAGGCCAGTCAAATGCAGGATGCACATTTGACTGGACTAGAAGTAGGGAAAATTGGATTTCTATCCGCATTTTTTCTTAAGTGTAACACTCACTTCTGTCAAATCGCCTTTTATTTTTATACCTCTCTCATCTGTTTTGACTAGACACTTCTAAGCCTGGCTCTCTGCTCCACAATGGCCCTTTTCTTCCTTTTGGGCTTTAAGGCACCTCTGCAATACAAAGTGTAGGATGAATTGCAAGCATAAATGCAGTATATATTAAAGCAAATAAGCAAAACCATCCATACTCTTCTGGAATCAGTAAAGAGTCCAAGAAATTAAAAGTCTGCATGTGATGGGGGAGGGCTTTTTATAAAAGATGAAAATTGGTAGGTCTATTGAATCTAATCAATACTGAGAATTTTGGCAATCTGCATGGTGCAGCTAGACTGCTGACTGTTGTTATAGATAGAAAAGAAAGAAATCTGCTAAAAAACAGAGGAATTAAAAATATTGAGAGAAATTTTACCATAGGAAGAGACAAACATTTCAGAAAAATGAGGAAGAGTAATGACTCCTGGCAATGATGGTGGTGGCTGGAGGGGCAGCAGCCTCACCAACGCACCTACAGAAAGCACCACCATGGACACAGCTGTGATTAGTGTCAGCCTGGTTTTTCAACATATGCTGACTAAAAAGCCATTTGCAGACCAAGCTGTCTCTTGGGTAGAAGTGTTCAAAGACTTAACTGTGGACAGGAGATATAAGGAATGAAATCTATGTTATGTCTTGCCTTGTTATAAAGCAAAGAGATATGCTATCCTCTCTACGGCTGGGCATGGCTATGTAGTGAATGCTGTGTCCATTTCAAGTCTCAGAACAAAGTTGATTTAAGTCACTGAGCCATCTCTTGATGAGTTCTGTAAAAGACACAGGAAAAAATAATACAAAATACTGTCAGACCCATGAAGAAAGTAAGCAGAAAAATTGTACATAAAATTATAAGGAGCATAGATGGTTGTAATTTGATAGGATTTTTATATACAAGTACTGAAGGCTTTACTTTTCTTCTTTTTACTCAATGTTGCAGACTCAAAAGCCTCACCATGTTCAAAGTAATATCCATTACCACAGATATTTGTTTTGATTTTAGGACCATGCAGACAAAGGATCCATAACCGAATCTTAGGTACTTTTTATCCCCTTGCTTCAAAAGGCCAGTCCCCAGGATGGCACCTATCCAGATGATAATGCATCATTGTAAGATTGCTCTGGCCTTGAGCTAGTGCTGTCCAGTACAGAAAGCTTGTTGCAGGAATTAGTTCCCTGAAATTTCATTTTAATATTGCTGATTTCTGTTGTGATACATTATTAAATATTAATTATCAATGTTCCTCCCTTTCTACAGTGAAATTCGAAATCTTAGAAACTTGGATTACATAGATCCAAATGCCTTTAAGAACCTCCCACTTCTGAAATACCTGTAAGTATTCAGTACCTGTAACAGATTGGCACTTAAATCTCACAGATGACTTTTTACATTATAGCAATTTTGTTAGTTTGCATTTGATTTTTGAGCTGACTGCCATGTTTTTCCCTGTTCTTTATTCTAATGACAGAAAGCCAGCACAGGCAGGGGTTGGAACTCTTACTACTTTTGTGAGAAAGGAAAACATATTCACAAATTCATCAGTTTTCCCATTTGTCTTATCCATTAAATATCTAGAACACATTGATATTCCTTAGCAAAATTCCACAGCTAGCTCTTTTCTTATTATAAGTGCTGTCTTACTCTATTTTTGTAGGAAATAGAGGAAAGAAGGGACACAACAATATATACATGTATTTAGTATTTACTACACATTTACACAGGGTTTTAAAACATACCTGACAGCCAAATGTGAAAAGCCCACCTGTAGATACCTGATTTCATATGGCAGAAAGAAATCCTGAAAGTTTCCCATGACTTCCTAAAGAAACTTCTGTGATTTTGAGTAATATTTGGAAGAAAGGCCTCCGTGTGTGGGTGGTAGGGGCAGTGGCAAGGAGGAAAGATTTGTCCAGGTTTTTCTATAGATGTGAAAGCAATAAAAAAAAGAAAGTAGCAAAAAAATCTGTTTCAGGAGAATAGTTTTAAAAATTGAGAACTACAGTTATTTTCAGTCTACAGGAGTTCATAAAGAATGGACTTTAAGCATTTCGCATTTTAAGACAGTTTCCCTTTATAGAGCTATGTGAACAACTCTTAGCCTCAATGAAAGATAGAGGATTCAGGGGTCCAGACTATTAACTGAAGTGGCCTTAATGTCTCAAGTTAAAATAAACCCAAGTTTTAATTATCTTCTTCCTATCAAGCTCAGAAGATGCTTCCCTCTGCAGATACACTTGGCTGTCTTATTAATATGTGCTCTCATTTTTTTTAGATTCTATAATTTATCATAAGTCTGGCATTTTGAAATTTTAATATTGTTCTTGCATCCTTCTGTTTTGGACAGCTGATTATAAATGAATTGATTGACAACAGAGAGTATGCAATAACCATCCTGCTCTGTTGAACACTTTAAATACATTGTTTGTTATTGTTCAGTGATGCAGTAATTCTTTCTGTTTCTCCTCTCTTTCAGTGGTATCTTTAATACTGGACTCAAAGTATTCCCAGACCTCAACAAAATCTATTCATTTGATGTGAATTTTTTGCTGTAAGTATCTGTCCTCACAGCTAGTTAGAATATTGCCATCCTCAGACCACAAGAAAACATATAATGAAGGTTTCTGGTTTTGAGAAAAATATCATTCAACTCTGACAAAGTGGTTTTCCTCAAGCAATATTTCAATGATCATTAGCAGAAATCTAGAAAATGCCAACTCACCTAGCACTACACGTTTGACCTGAATTAGAGACATGGCACACAGCACATTCATGATACACAACTTCTACAGGCCCTTTGCTTTTATTTTGGTTTTCGTTTTGCAGTTTTGCTGTGCAATACCTGAATTAATATGAAGTCAGAATTTTGTGATGTTAGAGGGATGTATGAGCTGGCATACATCCTTCTAACATCAAGTCATCCTATCAAAATTCTTCAAACAAATTTGTGCTGGCATGGTGAAGCAAACTGCAGAACAACTTCATGAAGAAAGAGAATGAGAATGAAAATGGGGACAAGGAGGTCTCCCAGTATTATCCTTAGAGGTATTTAAGAAACAAAAATAAATAAAATAAGCAGGAGTTTCTTGTTCTTTAAAAAGCACAGACAATATCCACATGTGTTAATCTAAGTCAGAATTTTGGTTTGTAATCAAGCTGAGGAGGAAGAGTACCGCACATGAAGACTTGCAGGCTGACACAAGGTAAAAGTATCTTGGTCACTTCTTGGTCCCAGAGAAGAGTTAGGAATCTTATATTGTAGCAGTTTTCAGCTGGAAGAGGCTTGAATGCTGGATGGGCTAGGCAAAAGGCAATTAAAAATAAGAAGTGCTATGTTAGAAGGTGATTTGCAAAGATGTGATTGATGATCCACTGCAGGCCTTGTTTCAGTGCTGCTAAGCAGTGGTTTTGGTCTGTCACTGGCAAGATGAACTCAGAGAAATAGAGAAATGCTGCTTGTTTTGCTAAAAAGTATAGACCTGTAGGAAGCAGTGAGATGTTCCCTTCCAAGGATCTTCTGAGAGCAGAAATAAGCTTTGTTCTAACACACACTGACCTTGGCTGTAGGCCTCCAAGATTAAAACCTGAGTCAGATGTAAGAACTAAGATCTTAAGAACTATTAGGGAGTTTCTCAAAGACCAGAAGGGCTTCAGCTTGGATTGAAAACTCTGCTAGATCTACTTCTACATAGTAGAGAGAACCAAGAATTGAACAGGCTAGAGGAAACAAAGCAGTTTATACAACCATCTTTATTCTTACTTCCAACTAATGCAGTGCCTTTCTAAGTGGCAGAAAGCGAAATATTGTTTTACTTCTGTCTTGATATTTTTTTTATAGCAGTAACTAACAAAAGATAAATATAGGTCTTATATGCTGCACAGAGTTTTTAAAGAATGGACCTGTACTTTCAAGGAAGATGATTCTATTATATATATTTCTAAATATTGCTATTCAATTAAAGAATTTTTGTTTCTTCCATCAAGAAAAGAAATGTTCTTCAAAAATAATAGGTTTCTAAATAATGAATAAGGTATAGCCTGGGGGAAACCCATTCATTATGTTACTATTTGCCTTTGAGGTCAAGCAACTTACAAGTAAACATTTATTTAGAAAAAATTAACCAGTCTGCAAAACGTCAAACCCAAATAAATTGTGGTGGAAAACACCTATCAGGGAAAATTACTTGGAATGAAAATGGTTGTAGTATAATGCAAATAATGGTTGTAGTATAAATGCGAAGAATAATGGTTCAGTGTTAGCACATATATATGCACAAATGTAGCACAGAAAAGGAATTAAGTTATTTCTGGCACATGGGTAATTGTTAGGACTTCTCAGCCCATGGAATTTATGCATGGGCCTTATTAGGCTGTACTAATCCATAAGCTGAAGAAAAAGAAACCTTTGCAAAATATTTTCATTCCCAGAATATAGTATTATTCAGAAAAAATCAGAAAAGGGGCAATCAAAGGCTTTGCTCTGCCCTTTGTTTCTACCAGCTTTTTCCTCTCTCCTTTCTCCAGTTTAGTAACAGTAAATCTCTTTAGTTTTCCTTTCTCCCTTTTGTTACAACAGAATTTTGGTCTGAAGATACACAGTACTTCATAAGAATGCAGAGTAGGATTAAAAAAAAGTATTTAAGAAACGAGTAGTAAAACACTCCTTTGGACAAAAGGTGAGAAAAATCAGTAAGTTATTTCACTTACTAGTGAAAGAGATGTGCTAGATGCACTTCTGTATAGTAAAATGCCTCTGTCCTGAATAATGTAATATCTGACACCTTATCTGAATTTAGAGAGCAGGATTTCTGCTCTAAAGCCACGTGGGTTGTTCCATTGACACTGCAGCTAATGTTTACTCACTCTGCTAATTCTCTGGCTCATGAGACCAGAGACCTTTCTGTGCCATTAGCCAGTTACCACACAGGCTGGCACACCTCACCAGAACTACAAAACCCATTTACCTCACAAGCTATCTTCCTGGGTGCTGGAATATGCTCAACTCTTCATCCTACATGTATCTTCTGGCCTTAGATATAACTTAACAGGTTATTGTTTTAAACTTATTTATTTGAATAAATAAACTTAAATTTATAATATAATAAATATAGCAATGTTATTTGTTTTATAATATATTATTAATAAAGTACATTTAAATTAATTTATTTAAATAATTATGTTTTAAACTTCTATTTATTATCAAGGCAGAGAACAATAATAACAAAGCTGTTCTCCAGATGCTCTGTTGGGCAGATGTTTGATTGTGATATTTTGTCTCCTTTTTCAGCGAAATTGCAGACAATCCTTATATGACTTCAGTGCCAGCAAATGCTTTCCATGGGCTTTGTAATGAATCTCTAACCCTGTAAGTTCTTCCAGTTTAAGGCACAAGGCAATCACCTCTCTGGTACTTGCCTATGGCAAAATGTTTAAAAATAAAATTACTCCTGTCCTACTCTCTAGTAGTTTGTAACAGAAACATCACAGACAGACAGACAGACATATTCTAGTTTGCTAAATTCTGTACTTTGACAACTATTTGAATCAGTCCTGTTCTTTTCTTTAAACTGGCTTGACTAAAGTAGTTTTTCTATGATGCTAGTGCCAGTCAATGTTTATATTTGAAAAAAAATTTAAAGGAGAAAGTTTGCAAAGTTCTCCCCCTGTAAAGCTTCATCAGGGTTATAACTGTGTCTAACTTTTTTTGCAACCTGAGTGGTACATACCATGGAAACATAATGGATGGCAAACATCAGAAGAGTCATATTTGAAAGAAAATTCCTAAATACAGTTCAGTAATGCAAGTCAGTCAATGTCAGCCACAATAAAGGGCTGATGGGAGTGAAATTACTATAATGAGTTATGACCTGAACTGGGAGGAAGAGCATTAGAATGTGAACAGATGAATTCTAAGAAATTCTAAAAAAAAAATCCTTTTGCTCTAAGGGAGTAAAAGAATGAATTCTAAAAATTTAAGGCATGCCTGATCAGACCTTTTTTGCTAGTTAGTTCCTTTAGCCTTCCTTAATCAATCCTAGCAGGACTTTTGTTTTGTTGCTTTTAGTTTAAGTGTGGGAAAATTATAGCAAAGTGGTTTAGTCTATCATTGCTGTAAAAGGAGGTAGATGGCACATGTGCCACATGGTATGCTTGATTTAGGTGCACTCAAGAACCCTTCTGGGCATTTGTTTAACCTTGCACAATAACTACTGCTTCTTCAAGAGATTAAACTTAAGCCACCCATGAAGGTGCTGTTGCACAGAAAAGTGATGCATAAGATGTTAGGTATTCATATATTGAAGCAGGCCAGAATACACTGATATAATTTGTTCTTTGTTTGCAGTAAACTCTACAATAATGGTTTCACCAGTATTGAAGGCCGTGCTTTTAATGGGACAAATCTGGATGCTATGTAAGTAGCAGGTAATTCTCTTCTTTCAGAAGAAAAAACCCAAACATCTCTGCTGATTTGAGGCTCTGAAATACGTATCCTATTTTAATTACTTTAAAGGAGGCAAGAGAGGATGTTAATTTCAGCCAGCAGTAACAGTATCATTGCTTAATGTCTTTTCAAGTGTGCTTTCATTTAGAATGTATATTTATAGCTCAGAAATAAAATCACGACAAGTAATTCCATTGTGAGTTTTGTTCTGGTTTGAAGCTACAGTAAAACTTCATTTGATCAGTACCTTTTCTAAGACAATTTGGAAGATAATTATGCTTTTTTTTACAAGACTGATTGTGTTAGTAAGTGTAGCACTGATAATGGTAGCAGTTTTTTTCACAGGTGTCACTTACCTGCAAAAAAGAGAGTGGTGTAAGATGCTGGGAACAATTCAGAGGAACCAGACACACTGGAAATGAGATGCACATCTCAAAAGCATGAGTGAACCATTTCATATTTCCCTGCAACTTCTTATTGTATTTTCTGAAAAAATAATATTTAGTGAGTGAATACTTTTTACACCATACCCAAAATCATCTGCTTCAATCATTAAGAGTGATTAAATCTCAATTCTAGTGACTCCATTCACATGGCAGAGCTTACTCTTGTCCTACAGAGGCTTGACCAAAAAGTCTGTCACTCTCATGAGTAAAGAGATTTCTTCATCGTGGGGTCTTAAATTAACCAGAGAGACATACCAGGAAATATATGGTTATTTTTAGTACTTTATTTTAAATTAAACTTGAATTCTAGAAGAATTCCATAAGAGCATCCTTCACATGGCCTAATCTATCCAAACTACCTATTTTAGCTTAGCAGATAGCTAGACTTAAAGTCTGAAAGGTTTGAGTTAAACCAAAGATCTGGAATAGATCTGATTTTATTCACACTAGTTCAGTTACTTTGAACTTTCACATGAAAAAGGAAGTTTTCCATGATGACATAGTGCTTATACTGATGCCCACAGAAATTGCAAGATGCAAAATATGGCAGAAATAAAGCCAGTGTCTTGACTGAATCCCTCTAAGCTGCATGCAGCAATACTCAGAAACTCTACAAGCCTTAGCCAATATATGAACTGTGTTGGCCCTTCCATTTCTTACATTTTGACAAAACACAGGTTGGACACTATTTTTGTAGCAATTTTTCTTTATGCTTCTCTCATAGTATACAGGCGCTATTGCTTCTGTCTTTGGAATTCTCCTTTTTATTAAAGAATCAAAGGAAAATGTTGTTTTAGAAGATCTGGAGCCCTAAACGTCAGCTTTATTGAACTGGGATGGAGAGAAGCAGATAGCACATACTAGCCTCTGTAGATACTAATTGCTTATTTTTAGAAAAAAAATTGTAACTAGTATTCTGTAAAGATATATAAGTATGTTTTAAGGCTAAGAGTAGAGAGCTTTACAAAGACATCTAGACATACTTGAGAGCCGGGCAATATTAAATTTAACAAGAAAAATTGCTGGATTCTCCATCGGGCACAGTGTAATCCTGGTTATACATACAAAGTGGGAGGCTGAAGAGCAGCCCACAGAAGTAGACCTGGGGGTCACGGTCACTGGCAAGTTGAACCTGAGCCAGCAGTGCCCTGGCAGCCAGGAGGGCCAACCCTGTCCTGGGGTACATCAGGTACAGCATGGCCAGCCAGGCAAGGGAGGGCATTGTCCTGCTCTGCACTGGGACAGCCTCACCTCGAGTGCTGGGGGCAGTTTTGGGTGCCACAATATGAGCAGGATATCAAACCCTTAAGTGTGTCCAAAGGAGAGCAGCCAAAATGGTGAAAGGACTTGAGGGCAAGGCTTACGAGGAGTGGCTGTGGTAACTTGGCTTGTCCTGGAGAAGGAGAGCATGGGGAAGGCATCTCATGGCAGCCCATGGCCTCCTCAGGGGGGGCAGTGGAGGGGCAGGAGCTGATCTCTCTCTGGTGACCAGTGATAGGAGACAAGAGAACAGAATGAACCTGCATCAGGGGGAGTTCTTCTAATTGGACATTAGGTGAAGGTTCTTCACCAAGAGGGTGGTCAGTCACTGGAACAGGTTCCCCAGGGGAGTGGTCACAGCACAGAGTTCAAATTGCATCTGGATGATGGTCATAGTTATGATTTTGTTTTTCATTGTCCTGCAAGGACTAGGGAGTTGGACTCCATAATGCTTATGGGTCCCTTCCAACCTGATATGTTCTACAATTTATGATCCTAAGTGAATCCTGGCAGAGACTGGCTATGATGCACTAGCCAATCAAATTTAAAAATAAAAACAAACAAACAAACAAACAACAGAATAACTAAAACTAGACTTATGTTCATGGCACTAAAAATGGTATATTACAACAAATACTTTTCTCGTAATTAAATCATATGACATTTACTTGGAGCAGAGCACTATTCGAGACGTATAAGGCAAACAAGGGAGCTGAACATGAGTGATAAAGACTTTATCTGTTTGATAAACTATACTGAAATTTATAAACTAATTTTCTGAAGTAGTTTGGTTACCATATGACAGGATAAAGTATAATTTTGCTAAGTGCAAGCTTGGAGATATGTTGTTTCTAGCAGCAGCATTAAGTTAATGGAAGAGGCAAATATTTCATTTTCTCTATTCTGACATTTCTAATTTGAACTCCTGTTTATCTACCACTGTATAGTGAAGGAAGTACCTGTTTTTCTCTGGGTCTGATCCAAGAGCATTTGAATTTAACAAAAATAGGAACAAAAACAAATAGAAAAAGGATGAGGGAAAATTGAATGTGTTTTTAATTACTATCTCAAGGACAAAAATAAGTAAAAAAACCAAACCAATTAAAAACAATAATAAATTTTTGGCAAATTATTAAAAGATTTCATGTTCCATCCATAAATCAGAAGATATTTTTGGACTCTTGGAGGCTATCTTCTACTATACATTATGCCTTTCTACCACTCTTGCAGCACTAAAATGCCTATATAATTAAAGGGGGCAAAAAAAATTAATGCAAGTACAGGTGAAAAACCATGGACAAAGCGTTTGCATTATCATAATGAATAACAGCACTACCTAGTTGATCTTGTCATCCAACAAGGATCAGTGTTTAACAGCAAACCACAGTATTGCTGTGTAAGATTTATAAGGGCAGAGAAGTCAGGAACCAGGAACGAAGGGCTGAATGACACTTTTACTGAAAAGCATTCATCTGACACTTGACTCCATCATCTTAACCCATCATTAAAGTCCTAAACGGCATCACTCCTGCAAAGTAGTGCTGCTGCACCAATGCTTATTTCTGTAAGGTAATTGATGATGAAAGAAGAGTTTTAAAATATATTTTCAGCGAATGGCAAAATATATTTGTGATGAGCTTTTACAGAATTAGCTAAATTACTGAAGTGGAAAGTGTGAGATCTCAAAATCTAATAACAAAAATAAACTCCAAAAGAATATATTTACTTTAGTATACACTTTCAGGGTTCACTTATAATGCTTGGCACAACTCAGAGTTAAGATAAACAATTGTGTAGAAAAATCATATGATGAATCCTTAGTACTGCTCACTTGGCTCTTTTTTACCTGCTCTCCCTTTCTTTAACCTTCATTTCATAACCCAGCTGGATGCATATGTTTTACATAGCACTTGAAATGTCTTGTTAGTGTTTTGTGCCCTCAGAAGGTCCTGCTCAGCATCCTGCAGTTATGTTGTTTTCTGCTGTGGTTGAGGCTCAACACAATATTCTTCCTACTTACCTCTGACCCTGAGTCCATAGAGACTTGACACAAGTATAAGTGGTTTACTGCTCTGACTGGATTGAAAAACATGAAAAAGGGCCTTCATTTACTTATAGCACTACAAAAACATCAGCATCTCCTACTCCAGATTCTGCACTTACTGCTACAGATTTCCTGCAGTTTGCACTGTGGTATTCATGTGTATCTTCTTGCCATCCACCAGCATCCCAAAATTTTGATTATTCTAGTGTCCCCACTGAGGCTAGATATTATACATCAACTATGTCATTTCTAAAACTTCACAACATGGAGGAAATTGTTAAGATATGTTGCTGCCACTGTTGTGGTTTTCTCTTCTGCAGGGAATTTAAATGGCATTCTGTATCATTTAACTATCAGTTACAGGATTAATGGTGTTTTCAGAAGGAACTGACTCTACATAAGTTTTTTTTGTCAAATTAGTATTTACCAAAGCCTTATTCTTTCCATCTAAAAGCAGTACCTATCAAAATAAAAGGGCCTAAGCAACTGAAACCAATTAGCATCAGGAAATTGTACATTCTGATGGGTTGACTCATTGATGTGAAAACTGGCAGCGAACACCACAGCCCCTCCTTAGTAAGACATGGTTCTGTACTTCCTAAAGTCTCTAGCTGTTTCTATTTGTAACTTTGAAGATTTTTATCAGGCATATCAGCTACTGTATCTCAGGTTTATTAGTCCCAATGGTACACAAACATCAGGGGAAAATATTTCAAAATTGGACAAGCAATTAAGTGGTTGTATAATAGTGTCTAGTTACTAAAGCAGACAGGTTTTATTAGGTTAAGCAGTTTTTGTGTCCTTCATCTACAAACTAGATGTTGAAATCTTGGATTAATTCTTAACTGTTGCTCTAGTTTTAATTTTTGTATTCATTTTGCTGACAAAATCATAAGGAAATTATCAGAACAATAGTGTGCCATTTACAGAACTTGAAAATCAGTTCTCAGAAAACACAAACACCAGGTGATGCTAGAATGCTATACATTAATAAAGAATGAAAGCTTATTTCAAACAACAACAGCTGAGAAGGTGATGTAAACTATTTTCCTCTGTAAGAAACAAGGCTTAAGGCATGAGTAATGTCCAATGAGTAACATGCCAGAAGCATTATTTGGCTCCCTAAGACTTTCTGTTGTGTAACCTAGAAAAAGTGCATTTACTTCTCATTTCTTACTATGGTGATTAATATAAGCTTATATCCAGTGAATGTTATGAAAAATTTGCCAATGACTTCAACCAGGAAAGGATTAGAATATTTACTTAGTGTTTTCCACACCACAGCTTGCCAGATGGGCAAGGAAAGGGATTGTCCTGCCCTCCTCTGGCCTCACTGTGAGCAGTTTTATAAGAAACATAAGAAAGGATATTAAACTATAAGAGTGTCCAAAGAAGGGATGGATGATGTAGGATCTTGAGGGGATGGATGTATGAGGAGCAGCTGAGGTCATTTGGTCTGTTCAGCTTGGAAGAAACTAAGGGGAGACCTCATTGCAGTTACCCATCCCTCACTGGAGGGAGGGGGAGGGGAGGAGACAGATTTCTTCTCTATGGTACCAAGTGACAGGACAGGAGGGAATGACCTGAAGTTGTGTCATAGAGGTTTAGGTTGGATGCTAGAAAAAGGTTCTTCACGTAGAGGGTGGTTGGACACTGGGACAGGCTCCTCAGGGAAGTGGTCACAGCACCAAGCCTGACAGAGTTCCAGAAGTGTTTAGACAAGAGGCACATGGTGTGACTCTTGGGGCTGTTCTTTGCAGGGCCAGAAGTTGGATTTTGATGATCCTTGTGGGTCCCTTCCAACTCAGAATGTTCTGTGACTCTGTGAACTTCACAGATACCGTCTGACATCTGTTGTGACCACCTTCCTATTGCACTTTTTATCTTACTAGCTACATCACAAGCTAACTTGTCAATGTTTATAACAGGGTACCAAACATCCCACTCTTTCCTTGCTGTTCTTATAAAAAATCTTTGATCTTAACTTTTGGCCTGTATATAGAAACTTCCACTTGACTATGGAGATTTTAAAGCATTTAAAAATTTTACTGAACTCACAACATGGAGTGTTTTCCTGTTTGTTCATTATGTGTTCCATCATGTAATTCCCCATACCCCATTTTTATGAAAGACAACAAAACTATTTGACATCATCCTCACACATCTGTACTTGAAGATAGTGTGTATGCATGTGCCCTTATGTGTATTACATTGAGAGAAAAAATTGGGAACAAAGATAATAAATAAATTAGCAAAATAAAGTATTTGTTGAGTAATTTATTGCTTTTCAAAATGGAAAACCTGTGTTTTGTTTCTTGGGTACACAGAAAATGAAGTAACTGATTATGCTTCAATATGTGGTTGGGAATGGATGGCCTTTATACATATTGCTTTTGTACCTCTGTGCAGGTAAGTAAACTCAAGATCTTCAGTAACCTATGGATAACTACTTTGACATGACTGTATTTTGTTTGTTTCTGCAGCTATCTGCACAAGAACAAATACCTCAATGTTATCAATGATGATGCATTTCTGGGAGTGCACAGTGGACCAACTCTACTGTAAGTAGGTGAAAATGAACTAGAAAAAGCTTTAAAAGTAATACTGGTTTAGCTTACAATTTCTTTACAACAATTAGCATCAGAGCAGCAGGGACTGGAATGGCATGTTTACAAAAATAATACCAGCAACAAAGCCTGTGCTTTAGGGAACTGATTTATGAAATGCTTACATCCTACATTACATATACTGTTCCTACCAATTACTTTCATGGAAGATTCTGTACTACCACCTGTTTTATGGCTGAACAATAGTAATACAAAAGAAGGGCTCTTGTACCACACAGGTAAAGGCAGTTGAAAGAGAAGAAAAAATAATTTTAGACAGAAAAAGAGTTACTTCTGATGCTCTTCTTTTTTCTCATGTTATTTGGCTTCCAGTCTGATTTTATAATCCTCCAAAGAACTTTTTACTTAAATTAGGAATCATAATGCAGAATGACCTCCTTGCTGGTCAGATAGTATGAAAAAGAAAAAATGCCTTGGTTGTGTGTAAAGGAGAGCTGAAACATCCCTGTATTATCAACACTATTTTCACTCCTAAATCAAAAACATAGCCCCATACTAGCTACTGGGAAGAAATTTAACTTTTTACCAATCAAAACTAAGAATTATTAATTCTTGTTATTAGCTTTTAATTTTATTTTAATGTAATTTTAATAGCAGCTTAGGGGCTTGTGTTACCCACAGATAACCAGAAATTATTCTGCATGTGTGATGTGGAAAAGGCTTGCCATAAAATGAGCAACAATTTAAAGTGGAATCCTTCTGCCTGGACAGATCTCTTAGCTGACCTTCAGGAACTAGAATTATTTAAACAGGAACAAAAGAGTTTCTGAAACTCCCACATATGCATTACCATAAGAGGGCTGAAGTCAAAAATTGAAAACTGATTGAAAACCTAGTATTTATGGTTGTTTATTAATACCTCCCACAGGCGACAAAAATGTTCTTGCAATTGGTGCCTTAGTATACACCCCCACTACACCATCATGACCAAAGAGTTACCTACAGATTTGTTACCTAGTGTAACAGTCTGAAAAGTCTGACCAAACAGCCCTTCCATATTCCCTTGGGCACTGTAAACAACTTAGCTTGTTATAAGGAATAGTTTGTTAAGTCATTTTTTGTTCAAGCACCCTGCTGTTGTTTTACTTCCAAACGGTTTCATCTTGAAAATTAACTATGTAGAAAATTATTGTGAGAATATTGCTTTTTTTTCTGGGGCAATGAATGGCATTGTGTATAGTGGCAGCAGTATGCATCAAAAAGAATGGGTTTTTTTAATTTGAAAAAGGGAACATTTATGGAGCTCTAAAGAGAAATTCTGTCTTGCCTCCCTACCAAGCTGGCAGAACTTATTTTCTGGAGTTCTATATGCACTCTTCAGATGAGATAGGAATTTATGGTAGTTAGAATATATACTCCAGAGATCATGCTTTTTTTAAAATCAGGATTTTAGCAGCAACAGCAACTTAAAAAATGCTGAAATACAGACCATGGATTCACCCAAATGGGGTAGTGTTCCATTTTGGCTTCAAAAAAACCCAGTGAGAAAGATTTAACTACAAAGAATTGTGCCTGACTATATGTATATTGTGTGAGTTTGGCCATGCCCTCAGAAGACCTAATTAAACATACTCAAGTATTGAAAAGCTAGGTAATTTTTTATTTTCAAATTTGCAGTTTACAACAGCAGAGGAAGCAGGGATTGTGCTCACTGAATAGAGGAAAACAGGTGTCAGCAATTCTGGTTCCTTTGTCACTGTCGCATACTCAGATGTATGTGGATGTATACAGTGATTGCTCCATTTAGAAAACTGTTTTAACAGTATAATGACAGTACATTGCTCTTCACCTCAAAATGAAACCTTGGCAAGGATTCAGCAACTTGGTGGACCTGATTTACTAAATGTGACAAGAGCTGCAGCCTAGAGCAGAAGTTCAATAGAGTACAACAAAAATACAATCAGGCTCATTATTATAATAAAAATGTTACAGTCACACAAGATACATGTGAGTAGTTAATTATCTATAGAATGCAGAATTGCCCTTTAAAGCTTCATTTCTCAATCTAGGAATGATTCCTCCCATGGAACATAAGCAAGTCTTTGAGCAAGAAGAGCACTCTGTAGTTTTTTGCTAATCAAACAATACTTATTTTTAGATTTTAAAAAAATCTTTCAATAGAGTTAAAATAGTATCTGTAGTTTAAGCCCATCTATTATATATTTTATGCTTTACCTATTCCAGTTGTCAGAAATTTGTGTACGATTAGGTAAAAATTCTCAGTTGTACTATGATGCATTCAATCTCATTTTCTTAATTACCTGTCTTTTAAATGATTGCTGTTACCGGATTTCGTACTACAATTGCATAGTTCCAGCAAGGAAAAGGATTATTGACAAAAGCTATAATCACTTAGATCTAGTTCTGTAATACTGACTTCCTCCTTCAGCTGCTTCAGAACTTTTCTGGTGAGAACCATCCAGTCCTTCTGACTTGCTATCATTCATTTTATCAGTGTCCTGCCTAGCCTGTTTTATGGTCACTTCAGTTTGAGACAGATCCTCTTGACAAGTCCATCAGACCTCTTGCCCATTTTCTTGTGTTTCTTTAAGGGTGCAAGCTAGAGTTCAGCAGTGCCAGCAAAACACTCTTACGTGCAATGTAAGCACTGCTGTGTTTAAGCATCCTCTTAGTTCTGAATATGATTGGATGTTAATGAGACAGACATGACTGCAGTCAGTTCCCATTTTTCTCAGCAGACCAAAATTAGGACTGATCATTCTTGACTGATTGGGACTGACCATACTTGGCTGATCAGAGCTTGGTAAGAAGCAACAGGACAAGAGGAAATTGCCTCAAGTTGTGCAAGGGGAGGTTTAGATTGAATATTAGGGAAAGATATTTCACAGAAAGGCTTGTAAAGCATTGGAACAGGGTGCAAGGGAAGTGGTGGAGTCACGGCCCCTGAAAGTGTTAAAAAAATGTGTATATGGCACTTGAGAACACGGTGAACATGGTGGGTGCCAGGTTGATGGTTGGACTGATGTTAAAGGTCTTTTCCAACCTTAATTATTCTAAACACTGGCACACAAAGATAATTCAGGAAAATGTGCCTTCTCTAGGAATGCAGGCACAGAAACTCTAGTCTGGATAACTCCAACTACTTGGATTCACATGGCTCTGAGGATTAGTAATTATTTATAAATATTTTAAATCTAGTTTGAAGACAGATGCTATGCTGCTTGAAGTAGATTGTGAATCTGATTTGATAATCATCAAGACTAGATTTGTAAGGTAAAAAAAATCCCTGAGAATCCCATACTTTGCTCTTGGCCAGCTGACACACACACAACAAAGTGTGGGCCTAGGTAGAATAACCAAAAAATTATCTTCCTTTGGGAGACAAATAATCACCAGACTCCCAGTAAGCTTTTTGATTTGCAATAGCAGTGGTACAGAGAGGGTCACAAGACTTCTTGCTGGCAGACACCATATACCAGCAGTTTATGGACTTCCCAAACTGGAAACTTCCCAAACATCTGAGCCATTGTGTTTAATATTGCCCATGGATGGGACAAAGTATCTATTGCTAGCTCTGCACCAGAATTAATCCTAAATCAATAAGAACTTCAAGGCATCTGTTCCTGTAACTTTTCCCCAAGCTCCCCAGTATAAACCTTCAATATCTGTCTGCTTAAATATTCACCCATAGGCACATACACAAAAGAATTCAGAGGATTTGGTAAGATACAACAGAAGTGAGACAGTCTTACAACTAATTCTTCCAAGCCCTTTCTTTTCACTGAACAGATGTTTCTTTCACACTTTTTAACATGACTTGGTAACACTCTGAGTTGACACAGATTTTGCATATTCACTTCTGCTCCCTGGAAAATTGCTTCCACTACTGGAGCCCTGCTACTTCCTTCTGTTTGCAGCTCTCCAGGAGCTGCAGTTCCATTCCCTGTACATCCAGAGAAGCTCCTCTCAGCAGCTGTTTCCAAAGCATGAGCCACTGTCCCTCAGGGTGTTCTTGCTGATCCAGACATTTCTGATGTGAATACAACCAAACCCAAAAGGTATATTTTTTTCTTGTTACTTTTTGGCCTACATGATGAACTACAGCACTGATTTTTACAATGATGCTATTGTGTGAAAAATTATGCCTTCTCTTATTCTTAAGACTCTCGCCTCACATTCTTAAGTGTTCCAAAACTCATCTCACAAGAGTGAATAATCATTACCAATCACCTTCACAATCTACATGGCACTATAGTCTACTACTGCTGCTTCCAGATGTAGCTTTTCCCAAGACAAAAAGTCCTTATCTGTACTTTATTACTTCATATATAAACAACCTGATACTTCTACCATCCTAGTTGCAACTTTCCATGTTATTATTGTAACTGCATATACTATTTTTAGAACTGCAGGTAATATTTCAGTTATAGTCATACTAGATTTACAAAGTCAAGGTTTTCTGCTCTATTTTCTGTTTATTTCCCAAGAGTTTTTAGCATTCTATTTTCCTTCAACATTACTAGAAGCACTGACCTGACATTTGCTGAGGACTCTAAGAACTTTCAAGAGTGATAGGTAATTAAAACCTCACTGTCATCCATGTAAAGTTAAAACTGCTTTTTTCCTAAATTTTACATGTATTTTACATTCATTAATTTTGAAGCATGTTATTTTTCTGCTCAGTCACATACTATTGCAGAAGCCTTCTGCTTCTTTAGCCAATCAAGTTTAGCTTTCACTACCTTGTATTACCTTGTGCCAGAAACAAGCTTTGTTGCAGCTACTCTCCCTTCCTTCCCAGACTGTTTATGAGTATTTCAGTAGCACCAGAGCCAGCCTCACCTCTGTATATTCAGATACCAATTAACTTTCCAATCTTCCTCTAGTATGAAATCTCATCATCTGTTCTCAGGCTTTTACCCTGCTCTTTTATTTTTCAATCAATCCAGAAGAAGCATTCCCCTTGTCACGTAACAGATTAGTTACCTCAACAGCCCTTGATATCTGATTTTGTCAAGGCTTGTCAGAATTCCCAACTCGTTGCACAAACAGGGTCATCTTTCTCCATAAGCTTGGTGCCAGTGTATCTTCAAAGAACTCTCAAAAGTTTGTGAGTTGTAATTTCACTTTCAAAGAGTCTCCCATCACAGAGTGTTTAACCTACCTGCAGATAACTGCCACAACCATGAGAACTTGATGGAGACCCATGAGGGTTGCTGAAAAGCCAGTCTTGTCTTGGTAAGGTCTATCCCAAGATCTAATTTACCAAGATGTCTTGCTGCAGAAGGAAGAGCATTGCCAGCAGGTCAGGGGAGGTGATCCTGCCCCTCTGCTCAGCCCTGGTGAGGCCACAGCCGGAGTGCTGTGTCCAGTCCTGGGCTCCTCAGTCCAAGAGAGACTGAGCGCTCCTGACACAGGTCCCGTGTAGGGCAATAAAGATGATTAAAGGACTGGAGCATCTCTCGCACAAGGAAAGGTTCAAGGAGCTGGGCCTGTTCAGCCTTGAGAAGAAATGACTGAGAGGTGACTTCATGATACATCTGAAAAAATTTCTTTGTTGTGAGAGTGCTCAAATGCTGTAAGATGTTGCTAAAGAGGCTGTGGGGTCTCCTGACCTGGAGATGCTGAGAAGTCAATGGGGGACAGCTTAGAGCAATCTGCTCCAGATGACCCTGTTTTGATCAAGGAGGTCAAACTGGATTATTTGGAAACTCAACTACTCTGATTCTTTAGAAGGTAAAATGATAGCAGGCAATATTCAGAGTCTTCTAAGAGCCAGGTCAGGCTATTGGTAGAAATACCTATCCAAAAAGACTCCAGGAAAACAGAAACAAATTTCACACAGTTGAAATTAACTAGTTGTAACATATTAAAGAACATATGACAGCAAGGGAGCTTTTAGAAGTGAAAAAGTTCTCCTACAAAAAGGAGCGACATTTTCTAACTCTAAAACAAACAAACCAAAATGAAAAAAGAAACACCAGAGCAAACCCAAATGTTGTAGACATTTTAAAAGTTGTTTAAAGCATAAAATTATTTCTAATTTCCTTTTGGGTGCAAGAAACCGAACAGTGAACAAAACCAGAGAGATAAGAAAGCATAGAAAAACCAGATTTGTTATGAGGGTGTTAATGATAAAACAATGCTTAAACAATGAACTCTTTTTACAGATTTACTTCTTCACAGATTGTAACTCTAAAAACATCTTAACTTCAAGTGTCACTAGAAGAGGTTTTGGGACAAAGCAAAAACTGAGTAGAAAACATTAGCAGGATCAGGTGACACTCACCTGGCAGTATGAAAGGAAAGCCACCTCCCCATCAACTGTCCATCATATCTCTCTTGAGTCCACCTCAGCAGACAAGTAGAAAGCAACAAACATAAGACTCAGTTTTCTAAGAGATTCAGGGTGGACTACAATAGAAGATTTTAAATTCAGTATATAGAGAATATTCTTTTAGGAATTCCAATGCTTTCTATTAAAGTGTGCCAATAGGTTAAAATTAATCCAAGGATGTCTAAGGGAATATAACTCTTCCAATGGAAGATGTGATTTCTTTAAAGGATTTTTAAAACTGTGTGGTTGCAAATGTATTTGTATCTGTTTGGCTTTAAAGGTGTAATTTTAAAAGTCATTATATTTCTTTATAATACATATTCTGTGCTAAAAGACATTAAAGACAAGAGCTTTAAAATACAGTGAAAATCATAGAGAAATGAACAGCCTTACTTGAATTCAAATGTTATCAGAACTTAGCAATATGAAATCTTCACCTCCTCAGGATTTTTATTATAGAATTCTGTGAAACTCCTGAAGAACAGTAACAATCTGAAAAAAAAATCTGATCTAGTCATCTTTTTCTTGCTTAGGGACGTCTCCAGAACAGCTGTAGCCAACCTTCCAGCCAAAGGATTGGAAAGCCTAAAAGAACTAATGGCCCAAAATACATGGACTTTAAAGAAATTACCAGCTGTAAAGGTATTTCTTCAGCTAATGCGAGCTGACCTATCATACCCAAGTCACTGCTGTGCTTTCAAGAGCTGGAAAAAAAAAAGTGGGTGAGTTTCACTAACTGGCATTTATTAAATAAATCAGTAAAGACAATGTTTGTGAAAATACATCTATTGGCACTTTTGCAACAATTTTTTCTAGGTATAGACAATGTTCTTTGAAACAGGTTACACTTGCAACTGGCAGAAGAATTTTTTTGTAAGACCTTTTGCGGAAGTTCCTCCTCTTATTGAGCCCAGAATTAAAGTGAAATAAAAAAGGAAAGGGTAATGTTCTACAGCAAGGCCTGGAAAGAAAGTGTTGGAGAGGTTATAGCCTCAAGTCTTATGTTTTCTAACTGAAAAGCTGTTAACTACTGAAAATATTTTAACTGCAAATACTGCTGCACCACACCATAAGGTACAGAATTCCAAATTGCCGCACTTCTAGGTAGCTGATAAGAAGTTACTGAACAGAAATTAAACTGATGGAAGATCTGGGAGAAATTGAATAGTGAGCAACAGTGAAAAATAAAGTAATAGTGTATGTATTATCCAAGAAATTATAAACAGTAGATAAATGTCTTCTTACCTACTAAGAATGTAGATCTCAAAAAAGAAGATGGATTATGGATGTCAAACAGGTGAAATTACTACTGGGGATAAAATTAAAAATACAGTTACATAGGAATAACCCAGAAAAGCTATTGTATGTTTTATGGTCTGTTAACAAAAATATATCCAATCACATTTTTATAGGTACATTTTCATTCAGGATGAATTGTTTTTGAAGCATTCCCTTTGTTCATATGCTGTGCACCAGTCAGACTCTAAATGCCAGCAATGATTTCCCCCTCTACTCTTTCAGGATCCTGGAGTACCTGATGTGTAACCAGAGCAGCCACAGCTTTCACAAGAGATCAGTCAAGAGTCTCAGAGACCCATTTTACAAAGATTATGCAGAAGAATACACAGACCACACCAATTCTGTGTATGACACAGACACCAAGTTCACAAGCTTTCATGAAAATCCCCATTATTACATTTTTTTGGAAGAGCGTGGAGAAGGAAATCTTGGCTTTGGCAAAGAGCTCAAGACCCCTCAAATGGAAGATGTCCAGACCTTTGACAGTCATTATGACTATCCTGTCTGTGGAGGCAATGAAGACGTAATATGCACACCAGAGCCTGATGAGTTTAATCCCTGTGAGGATATAATGGGATATCAGTTTCTGAGGATTGTGGTGTGGTTTGTGAACTTGCTTGCCATCCTAGGCAACATTTTTGTCCTTTTTATCCTTCTCACCAGTCATTACAAACTGACTGTACCTCGCTTTTTGATGTGTAACTTGGCCTTTGCTGACTTTTGCATGGGGTTATACCTCCTTCTGATCGCTTCAGTGGATCTCCACACCAGGTCAGAGTACTATAATCATGCCATAGAATGGCAGACCGGGCCTGGCTGCAACACAGCCGGGTTTTTTACAGTCTTTGCCAGTGAACTTTCTGTGTACACCCTGACCGTGATCACCCTGGAGCGCTGGTACGCCATCACCTTCGCCATGCGGCCCGACCGGAAGATTCGCCTGCGGCACGCCGTGCTCATCATGCTGGGAGGGTGGCTCGCCTGCATCCTGCTCGCCCTTTTGCCACTGGTTGGTGTCAGCAGCTACAGCAAAGTCAGCATCTGCCTGCCTATGGACACTGAAACACCAGTGGCTGAAGCCTACATTGTCTTTGTTTTAATATGCAACATTATTGCTTTTGTCATCATTTGCGCCTGCTACATAAAAATCTACACGACTGTGCGAAACCCCCAGTACAAGTCAGGGGACAAAGATGCCAAAATTGCCAAGCGAATGGCTGTGCTGATTTTCACAGACTTTCTGTGCATGGCTCCCATCTCTTTCCATGCTTTATCTGCCATTATGAACAAACCATTGATAACTGTCTCCAATTCCAAGATTTTGCTGGTACTTTTCTACCCACTCAATTCTTGTGCCAACCCCTTTCTTTATGCTATTTTCACCAAAGCTTTCCGCAGAGATGTGTTTATCCTGCTAAGCAAGTTCGGTATATGTGAACATCAGGCTCAAGTCTACAGAGGTCAGACAGTCTCAGCCAAACACAGCAGTGGGTCTTATGGGCAGAGAATCAGCCGAGGGATAGGCCAGGTTCTTACAAGCATCCAAGACCCAGTCAATGATTACCTTCCTGCTGTGACAATGCAGACCCAAATTCTCATGGAAGAATGCAAGCAAACTGAGCTCTAGCATCTCAAAGTATCACAGCCAAAACCTGGTCAAGAGGTGATGGTGCATACAGTGAATCAAGTGAGAAGACAATATTGTCCACATCCTTTTCCCCAAGGTTGGGCTTTGCCATAACTGAAAGTACCTCCAGAATGGTCTTCTTTCAGACAAACCACTTATTTGAACCTCTTATCAGTGGAGGGCAAAACACATAGTCCTGATGATAATTCTGGAAGTAGATGTGAATGCTCCACCTAAATAGGAAAATTATATATATAAAAACTGATCAAATATAAAATATGCTCTCATCTTAAAAAAAAAAAAAAGAAGCCCAACAGTAAGACTTGGGGGTACTTTCTTTTGTTTGCTGGTCTTGGTTTAGTTTGGAGAGGTGGGAAAACAAGCTTCATACTTCCTTTTAGTGGCAAAAGGCAAATTATCACTGATTTTGCAGCTGCTCATAAGACATCAGGTAATGTTTCTACATTAGGGCATTTGTGTCCATTACTATCACTCTCTCACTTTTTGAAAAATCTATTTAGGAGCTGGTTTATTTGAATTTGTTTTGAAGACCAGGCTACCCAGTCAAGTTAATGATGGTTGTTTGGGTTTTTTTGGATGACTGATCCAGTTGTTACCAAATTTCAGTGCTGTTTTATGTGAGCATATTTATTGCTCTGAACACCCTGCAATTCCAGCTTTCTTACCACTTCTGCTGTCCCTCCTTACCCCTCTCTCACAGGGTAGACCTTTCCTTTTAGCACTTTCTATGTTGAGCCGCCTCAAACCTTGACTTAGACCAAGGGAGTGGATCACACCTTTGGGTCCCTTCATGCCATACAGTTCACTGCATTGAAGGCTGACTTCTAGCTCCTCCAATGTGTTTTAAGAACATCCATCTTGCAGTGAGATCTGTTACCTGACCTTAGTAATGTTTGCAGCACAACTACAAGAATCCCACAGTTATCCTCAGGCTGACCACAGCCTGGCTGTAGCTGGGACATACGCTCTCCACAGTGTGCTTAAGGAAATCCATGCTCAGACACAACGAACAGCCCCCAGTCTAAAGCAGGAAAGCATCCTTCTGCCCTGCCTGCTGCTAGATGGGGCAGACCTAGGTCAAGCTTGGCTGTGCTCAGCTCATTCATACACCACAAACAAATGAACAGAGGCCTGGCCCTCCACCTTCTGCAGACATCAGCACTCGGGGTAGGAGCTGCTCTGCACCAGCTGCATTAACATTTGAGTGGCCCGAGTGCCTGGCTTTGCTGGCAGGATCACACCTGGTCCCAGCCAGCTCCACAGACTGGCTCTGCAGAACTGCTACCAAGGTTACCGTGGATCATTTCATTCATCTATTTGAAAGTCTTGGCATAAAAATGGAAACTATTGTGTGAATATTTGCCTTCAGGTAAGTATTTTTAAATTAATTTTGTAATAGCTATGCTGGTTTTTATGGAATTATAGTCTTTGAGGAACTATAATTAAATTGATCAGACAATAGTAAGGACTTATATAATGTGGGTGACTAGTATCCAAAAAAAACATAACGATAGAACCCTTTGAACTGCTGGCTACTACAGCTGGAAACTGAGTGACTGCAAATGCCAAGTACATACTCTATTTGATTCTATATTTTCCAAATATTTAAAACTCAATTTGATTTTGTACTTCTGATTATAAATGAAGGCTGCTTCAATGAGCAGAAACAAGGGCCTAGATTCATGAATTCCATGAGATGGTCTTACAGAAAATAAATAATCTATCAATGTTCATGTCATTTAAAAAAATCTACAATATTGCGTTATAGACTAATTTAGCTGCTTATTTTGGAGGAGAGGCACATTTCCATTTTAGGTTGATTCTCCACAAATTCTGAAAGCAAAACTGCTGAAATCCATGCAAATAATAATTTATTACCTCCTCTTCTGCAATCTGAAGCCGCCCATTGTTACATCAGAAACAAAGGAAGCTTCTTAAGTGTGCAGATCAGCAAACTTCCTTACTCTTGAAACAGCTGCATTTGCAATGCTCTGGCCCCACATCCAAGAGTCCCATACAAACATGGGGCTTTTCAGATGCAACACACCCCCTGCCAGGTTCTGCCACCCTTCTGATACTCAAGCAACCTTTAAAAGGGAGAAACAGTTTCCTGAGTGCCTTTATTTAGTATCTCAGCAGCAGCAAAGACAACCAAGCTCTAATGGACACTTGTTTTACAGACTTCACAAACACTAGTGGTACCACTGGAAAATCTAAGCTTAAATCATATTCTTTTTCAGAAAGAAAGGAAAGACTAAATCAAAATTTATGTTAAAGGTGTTTTCAAAATTAACGTGGACCTTAAACCAGAACATTTCTTTCACAGAAACTAGTAGGACTTCAAAAAGATGTGGTATGTTGGACTAGTATAGGTTGTTTGTAAACTAATGCAGCTATTTGCTGTTACTAATAGATGACAGATATATTTACACATTATTGAACTTTTCTGTCTCTCATTATTGCGTATACATTATGCCGGTTAAAAGAATTCTGAGATGCTGCCTTTAGCAACAAAGTTTGATATTTCCAGTTTGTCTTGCATAGTCCTTCTTGTATTTAATTTGGTAAAAAATATTTTAGAAGCTCTTGGAAAGGTACAGGCTGTAGGGAAGGCTGTGCTCCAGGACAGCTTTGATGAATGGAGATGAGAGATCACTGAAGGCTGCTCTTAGAATATCAGGTTTATTAGGGATGGTGAAAGGTCCTGCTTGGAGCTGCCAGACGCAGCACGTGGCAAGGCCTGAGGGGATGGGGTAGGGGAGAGACAAGGGGTAGAGAGGATGCTCTAGGAGAGGGTGGAAGTTCTGAGAGAGTGGGGATTCCAAGAGAGGGGAAGTTCCAAGAGGGCGTCTGGCCCCTCAGAGACCCCTTATCAGAGGGCTTCAAGGTGGGCTGGAACAAGACTTGGGCCAATGGGGTCACAGACACCTGATGCTTCAGGGGAGGGTTACAGGTGTGGGATGAACCATACATTTTGGGGGGTGAGATGGAGCAGTCCATTTGACTTTTGGACCTATCTGTAGGGTATTGTCCAGCCAGTAGGGGAGATTGTTTTCATCCTGGCTGTACTATTGTGAATCTTTTGCCAGGCAATTATATTTATCCATCCTTTCCAACAACAGGCAAATAGAATTTAAATAATTTATTTGACAGATCTTTTCTTGTAAATGTTTGTATCCTACAAGTATTCTCTTCCATTCCTGCTCTGATCAATTCCCTGAGACATTTTTGGGTTTGTGTGCACCTTTATGTAATACTTGCTATTTTAAATCCGTCTCAGCAAGCTGTGTTATTTCTGGCATTTAGTATGTATGCTCTCTAGAACAGTTCAGAAGTAATGGGAAGCATGGGAATAAAATATTTTGTTTGAAATTGGAAGAGGCTCAACAAGTTTTTTTGGGAAATTTTAAAGTATTTTTCCTATAAAAGAAGTTAATACTATTTATTTTGCATTGAACTTCATTGTTCTCCTTGGCTGACCTATCCCATGACACACTGTCTGATGCAGGTTTGGGGGCTTTTAGTTCCATCACAAGCTGTGAGAGGGATCTCCTAAATCACCATCTCAGGCAGTGCAGTAGGCATAGAAAGGAACAGCAGTAGTACTGCTGAGCTCAGGAGTTCCACAACCATCACTCATTACATCCAAGATAATCTGAAAGAAAAAAAAGCTGAAAAGTTGAGATGGGGCCTTAGTTATGAACACTTGGAACTTTCTCTGAGCAATTTAATGGCTTCAGGTGACCTTTGGTAATCTCCTCTCTCTCCAACAGAGAGAGATGGGAGTTTTTTATAGAGCAGGTATTGGTTCTAGATGACATCATCAGCAACAGGTCAGCTATGGTCAAAGGGCACACCCTGCCCTGCTATTGGTGTTTGGATTCTGAAAATAGCACAAGCAATCAAAGATAAATTTCACATCACTACCATAGCATTTTGGTTTATTAACATAAATGCCCTCTTGCTTCCTTTCTTGTGGGATAAATGAAGTATTAATGCTTTCAACTACAGGAAAATCTGTACCAAAAAATCTCCTTAGAATGATAAGCTTGATTTGAGTAGAAGCCCTACGCTTATGTGTTAATATGAACCAAACCCTCCCTCCCAGGCTGTTTGGGAAGGCTGATGGGTAATAGCAGCATAATCTGTATTGTTTTTCTAACAGATGCCAGGCAACTACACTCTAAAACCACTCAGTAATCAAATGGTTTCTGGGTTGCTGTTAAAATTGTGAGGCACAAAATTAGTTGTATACTATGCCTTTCCCTCAGGCACTCCCTCCTTTGTAGGGATTCTGAAAACATGACATTACACTGCACTTACATGTAGGCTTTGCAGACTAAGTCAGAAGATGTTGAAGGGCCCTCATTGTGTCCTGGAACAGAAGATGGTTAAGAGGTCTTAGGGACACACACCAGGAGATTCAAACAACATCATCAACCTAAAATTCAACACATCTCCATAAAGCTGGAATACTTTTCATCTGTTCAGTCACTTCCATCTGACCAGACTAATTTTTGTGTGACTGGAAATCATGATGTGAAATAAACAAATGAGGGCTCTATGAGGATAATGCACAGAGTATTTAATCAGAACCCATCAGCTCTAACTTCCTATTCCCATTCCACACCTGACCCCCCCGTGCCCCCCTGTACACACAGTGGTATGAATTTCTAGGTTTTCAGACAGGATACCAATGCTGTGTAGTTTTGTAACTGCCTGGACATACTTTCCACTCTGAATATATTTGGTAACTATTCCAAAATGTGGAAAAGTCTCATGAACTGCAGCACCTGACTTGGACCCCACTGGTGCCCTCCTGAACTTACTCCTTTCAAGAGTTTAACTTCCATGGGATTAATATAATCAACTTGAATCTTACCCCACCTTTTTGTGAGGACTTCTCTGTGACGTCCCGATTATATGCAACACCAGGGCTTGTACTTGTGGCCATCTCAAGTCATATCCTTACTGCTGCACACCTATGCAGTTCCACTGAAGTTCGTGAAGCTTTGATAATGGGTTCAAGGACAAGGAACCCACTAATTTTGGTTCTCAGCTATTCAATATGCAGCTGTGATGAGGAATATCCTTTGGGTTATTTTTCTTCTCTCTTAAGGAAAAAAATATGTTGTGAACATCAACTTCATTAACAAGCAGTATCTAAGAGCTCACTAAACAGTCATTAGAAAGTGACTGAAACTACTCGATTGTTACTCATATATATACTGTGATACTTTTTATAAGACCTACTTTGCTGTCTGGAAGAGCCTCTGTTTTAAACACTGAGACTGATAACTGACTGGACTGCCAACCCCATGCTGGCTGTCTTACAGCTTCAGCTGAAATGACAGTGACTTTTATTTGAAAAGTAAAGAAAAACTGCAGTATTTATGTCTTTTATTAAGTCAAAGCTGTAACAAATTAAACCAGAGCAGTAACATGAGTTTTAACAAAAACCTTCTCACTGCAGGCTCTGAGGTGTTACCTGAATATCTGTCTTCCTCATGGCCTGCTGCTGACATATGCAGGATAGCACTGAAATACCAAGGAGCACTAAAGCTGTATTTGTGCAGGTTTCAGTCTGACTATAGTAAGAATTCTCTAAATTATATGTGGATTACTGCTGCTGCCTAGAGGAAGCTATGGAAACAACAAATTAATTCTCTTTTAGCCAGCAAAAGATTTCCAAGTAAACCCTGGAACGGTCAGTTTAAAGCACCATGAGAAGTCCAGAAGGGGAAAAAATGGGTTTTCAATTCATACATACGCTTCTCCTTTGACATGAAAGTAAGCTTGCAATCTCTCCTTGATTTTTGTTTTTTTAAGGGCTGGTTGCATTATTTTATCTTTTCCTCTGTACTGTTTCCTCTTTTCAGTTTCCTTTTACATCTCCTTCCTCTACTATTGCAAAATGCCACACTCTATTTTAAGAATTACTTTATGTTTCCCACCTATTATCTGAAGTGCTTTAGGCTACCTGGCAACACACGAACCTCTGAGAAAAATAACAAAGTAGTTTAAGGACACTGAAATCATTTAGGAAAGAAAATGAAAGCTAAAAGATACTCTGAACAAAGATTAACAGTAATTTGATCTGGTAAATTTAAGAATTGCTCTACTGTCTCTCTATCCTCTCCCAAAACCAACTTCAGTGACACATGCAAAAACATCTGTGACAGGAATACACTTTACCTTTAGTTACCTGATTTTTAACACCAGTATCACCATCACATTTATCAAGCCCTTTGTAAAGTCTTTAAACATACAGGGAATTTCACTAGATGCTGATATGTTTTAAAACCGAAACTACTTATTAAAATCAGACAAATTCAGCCCACAAAAACTAGGATGTCAGAAATATTTTTTCCAGCACTAAAGCTTTTCCTTCATTAAAACCATGAACAAAATGAGCTCAGGAGGAAAGGGCTTCCATCCTGCAACAATTTGAATTTTCTGAAACAAAAGGCAATCTGTGCCAAAACAAACCAATAAGCAGTATTCCCAGCAAGTGAATTCTGCAATAAATCCTTTTTTAGAAATGCTGTACTTCCCGTACCACTTTGTTTCCAGAATACATTACCTGTTAGAACCAGACAGCCCACCTAATGTCAGCCAGTTGTTCCTTCGAGGGGAAAAGTCTGTATGAAATACTCAGATGCTGGTACAGCAGGACTCCTCATCATTAAGGAGCCCTTTCTGCAAGGGGCTCACAGCAGGATTCCTAGGAGAAATGGGAAAAATCAGACAGCCAAGAGCCTTAGCAGAAAGGACTGCCTTCCTTATTTTGCTGGTCAAAATGGTTTTCCCCATCACAAGCAAGGAAGGCTGTTCTTTACCTTGACATTAAATCCAGCAGCTCCAGTACTTGTAAAGCAGTGTCCGGACTCTCCTGGGACTTCAACTGTCTGAATGTTCCAGGCATTTATAGGGATTTTTCCACAACACTCTTCTCCTTCATTTGGTTCCTCTAGCAAAGGAAAAACATTTCTATCTTGACAGAATCACACATCTACACGTAACATTTTCTGCTGTTACGAGATTATTTATTATTTTTTACAGTTTAATGGCAGTCCTTGTTTTGGATTTGCTACTGAAACATACTTATCCAAATTAAACACCATGCTTTCAATTTCAGTAAATTTTTATTTACCAAACTGAACTAAAAAGGAAAACAAAAACTGGGTGCATTTTTTAAACAGCTATCCTTAAAAAGCATATTAAAATAGCAGGTCATCTTCAGAGAGCAGTTTTTAACCTATGGAAGTGAATAGGCAATTCAGACTAATTTGTAACATAAAGCACTATTTGCATTTATTCTTACTCCATATTATCTATTTTGGATAGACCCTCTTTCAGGTCACACATGGGTACACACATTTATACTATGTAAAAAAGTGTAATTACATAGGCACTTCACACAAAAATAACTGGGAAAGTCTTCACTCTAAAGAAAAAAATTGTCCTAAACCAAATTTTCTTAATGTTATATATCCACACTGAAAGTCAAACGTGGTTCAACTGCAGTTCATCTGAGTGTACTACAGATGTCCTTACTTCTGAAAGGATTAGATTTTGACATAATCCCATTAGTGGTAAAGTGCTGAAATCTGCTCTGAAAACAAGGGGCATGTCTTTAACAGAGTATTCTACAAACAGAAGTCTGCATTAGAAAAAAACAGTACACACTCAAAAGCTGACACAGTTTAAGACAAGTTGTAAGGAATAATGTGTAGCTGAAAATGAGAGGTATGCCAATATCCCAAGATTCTTATCCTCTCATACCTCTGCAATTACAATAATTAAGCCACATAAAAAACAGAGAAGAAATTGATGTGTTTTTAAATATACTTGATTTTGCAAAAAAATAAATAATTTAAATACTTTGCTCAGCCACAGCTGGGAGAGCACAATTAACATTCAATTAATAATAATAGCATTCTCATATTTTTTTTCACACAAATGAAATCTAGCTTTTTTTGTGTTTTAATTTATATTTGCTACTAACTTTTTGGCATTCTGCTTTGCCTCCTCTTTTATCAGGGTACTTTTGAAAACCTTTTGGCCAAAACAACAGGCCATTTTTCTCATGTTTGTTTCTTATGTAGTATGCAAGCTACAACAACTTGATCTCTTTTGGAAAAACAATGGATTTTTAGTAATAAATAGTTATTTATCCAGAATCAACTCCAACTCCCTTTCAAGTAAGGTAAATTTTATGGAAAAAAGCGGTATTGTGTTTTTTAAGATTTCCTCAAGTTTGAGAGCTGGAGAGCAAAGAGGAGCACTGGGGGGCAGAGGAGGCGGGGGGGGGTCCATCCTTGAATACTAGTGGAAAAAAACAAAACACCACCCCTCCCCTCATGAGGCTTGGT